GTCTATTGCACCTGCCCTCAGAACCCTCCCATGCTCTCAGTTTGGATCTGAAGACCCAGCCCAGGGCCAACCCCTCCCATGCCACCCTCTCTCTACACCACTGCCATGCCTGAGCCCCCCATGTCAGAAAGATATCCACTGCTCATGTGCAGGTCATGCCAGTTTCAGACTACACCAGTTAGAAGAGGTGCAGGCCATGCTGATGTGGGTGAATTGTCTGTATTCTGTCAATCATATTTTAATAAAACGCTGATTGGCCAGGCAGGCAGTATAGGTGGGAAAACCAGACAGGAAGTAGAGGTGATGCAATGAGAACAGGAGAATTCTGGGAAGCAGGGAGGTTCCTCTGCCATTCCTGCACAGACCACTGAAGAGGCAACATGTAAGCTGACAGCTGAAAAAAGGTACCAAGCCATATGGCTAACATAGATCAGAATAATGGGTTAAGGTAAGTCATAAGAACTAATAAGTAGCCTGACCTAATGGGCCAATCAGCTTTATAACTTATAGAGATCTCTGTGTGATTGATTTTCTTTGGAACTTGCCGGCTGTGGGGTACCGGGCGGGATAGAAACCCCAACAAGCCGGCCCTCATGTTACACCATGCCAGTTTCAGACTACACCAGTTAGAAGAGGTGCAGGCCACACCAGCTAGAATAACAGGAAGACTTAGACAGAAAGAGCCCCTGCTGGACAGAGACCACACTGGCTGCTAGACTCCAGATAGATGGCCCTCCGGAAAACTTCCACATTCTCAGTTCCTTCTACTATCCCTGATATCCACTTCCCTCATCACAGTGCCCCTCCCCAACTCTGGGCGGAGGTACCTGCTGAACCAAAGGTCATACTGGCCACCAGAAGTTTAGCCCCCAATTATGAAAGACCTTCTCTGCTGGACCAAAGGTCACACCAGGTGCCAGAAATCCAGGCCACAAAGACCAGAAAACCAAAAAGGAAACAGAAACCAAGGAACAAAACACCCATCCAACAAAGACAAACTCAGAAATTGGCACCTAGACCTATAATCACCCCAAACCCAGATACCTAGACCCCAGTGTAAGAACACAGTCAACAACAGACAGGGCAGTAAGTCACTAGGAAAGCACCCAACCATCCTCTTACTACATCAAGCTCTGAATATTCCAACAAAGTTGAAGCACAGAAAACAACCTTACAAACAAGTTTATGAAGATGATAGAAGTCCTTAAAGAAGAAATGAATAAATCTCACAAAGAAAGTCAAGAAAAAAACAAACAGTTGAAAGAGATAAACAAAACTGAAGGGATTCAGGAAATGAAAAATCTAGGTAAGAGAACAGGAACTACAGACACAAGCATCAGCAACAGAATATAGGAAATGGAAGAAAGAATCTCAGGTGTTGAAAATATGATAAAAGAAATAAATACATTGATCACAGAAATATGAAATTAAAAAATTCCTGACAGAAAACATTCAGGAAATATGGGACACTATGAAAAGACAAAAATCTAAACGTAATAGGAATAGAAGAAGAATCCCAGTTCAAAGGCTCACAAAAGATTTTCTACAAAATCATAGATTAGACCAGAAAATAAAGTCCCCTTACCACACAATAATCAAAACACCAAACATACAGAACAAAGAAAGAATATTAAAAAAGCTGTAAGGGGAAAAGGGCAAGTGACACATAAAGGCAGACCTATTAGAATCACACCTGACTTCTCCACAGAGATTCTAAAAGCCAGAAGGTCCTGGATAGATGTGCTCCAGACTCTAAGAGACCACAGATGCCAGCTAAAACTACTATACACAGCAAAATTTTCCATTACCATAGATAGAGAAAACAAAATATTTAAAGACAAATACAAATTTAAACAGTATCCACAAATACCTACCTACGGAAGATAACAGAAAGGAAAACTCCAACCCAAGGAGGTGAGCTACACACATGAAAACACAGGAAATAATCTCATGTCAGATAGCAAAAGCAAAGAAGGGAAACACAAACACACACTACAATCACCAACAATAACAACAAAATAACAGGAATTAGCAATCACTGGCCATTACTATCTCTCAGTATCAATGAACTCAATTCCCACCCCCAAGAGATACAGGCTAACTTTGGAAAGGATGTGAAAACAAGATCCATCCTTCTGCTGCATACAAGAAATACACCTCAAGATCAAAGACAGACATTACCTCAGAGTAAAGGATTAGAGAAAGATTTTTCAAGAAAATGGACCCAAGAAGCAGGTTGGTATAGCTATTATAGTATCTAACAAAACAGATTTCAAATCAAAATTAATCAAAAGAGATGGGGAAGGACACTTCATCCTCACCAAAGGAAAAATCCACCAAGATGACATTTCATTTCTTAACATCTATTCCCCAAACAAAAGGGTACCCACATTTGTAAAAGAAACATTAATAAAACTTAAATCATACACTGACCTTCACACATCAATAGAGGGAAACTTCAATTCTCCACTGTCACCAGTGGACAGATCTTCCAGAGAAAAACTAAACAGAGAAATACTGGAACAGATGTTATAAACCAAATGAACCTAACAGATATCTATAGAATATTTCACCCAAACACAAAAGAATATACCTTCTTAAAATCTCACAGAACTTTCTCACTGACCATATACTTGGTCACAAAGCAAATCTCAACAGATATAAGAAAATCGAAATACCCCCATTGTATTCTATCAGATCTTCATGGGACTAATACTGGATATCAACAACAATAGAAACAATAGAAAGACTATTAACTCATGGAAACTGAACAACTCTGCTGAAGGACAACTGGGTCAAGGTAGAAATAAATTTAAGACTTCCTAGAATTCAATGATAATAAATGCACAGGATACCCAAACTTATTGGACACAATGAAAGTGGTGCTCAGAGGAAACAAAAGGGGGGATATAACAACAGACATCACACCAAGGAAATTCAAAGAATCACTAGGTCATATTTTTTAAAATCTGTATTCCAGATAATTGGAAAAATCTAAAAGAAATGGATAATTTTCTCAATAGATACCACTTACCAAAGTTATATCATGATCAGACAAACAATTTAAATAGTCCTATAGTACCAAAGGAAACAGAAGTAGTCATAAAAGTCTCCCAACCAAAAAACCCTAACAGACAATATCAGCACAAAATTCTACCAGACTTTCAAAGACGAGCTAATGTCAATACTCCTCAAATTATTCCACAAAAGAGAAACAGAAGGAACATTGCCAAATTCATTTTATGAGACCACAGCCACCCTGAAATCCAGACCACAGAGAGACTCAATAACAACAACAACAAAAGAATTACAGATCAATTTCCCTTGTGAACATCAATGCAAAAATAATCGATAAAATACTAGCAAACTGAATCCAAGAACACATCAAAAAGATCATCCATCATAATCAATCAGCCTTTATCCTAGAGATGCAGGGATGGTTCAAGATGTGAAATCCTGTCAATGAAATCCACCATATAAACAAAATAAAAAAGAATAAGAAAGAAGTCAACTTAAAGGAGCAAGAAGTCAACTTAAAGGAGATCAAGAGAATACAAATTGCAAAGAAAGCAGTCAAAGTATCACTATTTGTAGATGATATGACAGCTGCCCATGGGAGAACAGGACCAGGTACAAAACTCATCTTCCAGTTTTCATTAGAATCCATCTAGATTTATACATGAAATTAGTTAGCAGTTTTTAAAAAACACTACTTAATAACTGATGTTTTAAAAACAAATAAAACAAAAACCAGGGTGCAGGTTAAATGAAACATATTTATGGACCAAATCTGGCTCCAGGTGGCATACCTGAGAACCTCTGCCTTACATGTTTTGTTGGCTTCTTAAGTCCATTCCTCCCTTGCATGTCACCTGAGCTGGCTCTAGTAGAGACAACTGCCCATTTGACCTAGAAAGTATTCAGTGTTGGCGTTAGGAGTCAGGATGGAGTTAGCATCTCAGGACCAGGGAGTGCTACTTGCCATGGACTGATGTGGTAAATCCAGAGGAGTCACAAATTCTCAGGAGCATGACTGAGGAAGTGTACACTTTTAGATTTAGATCTGGTCTAAATAGTTCTACTTTGCCAGTTATTACCCAATGGAGACTGAATCTTAAACAGATAAAGGTTTTATGTAAGTCTCCGGCATAACCTCAGCATGTCTCAGTATCACCACAATTAGATTCCTAACACTGTCCTTATAATGTAATGAGTGTTCCAAATTTATTGCCTCTTTCATGTACACGTGAATGGAACACAGATGGATTAGAGAAGTTGTAACTATCACTCAGCTCATTCTACCCTGAAAATCATTAACATTTCCCAGAAACCTGAAAAAATTTTTGAAAGCAATTTTATGAAAATGTTTACAAAAATGTGAATTTGTTCTAAACCCTCAAATTACAGGCACAATAATGCAGAGACTGACGACATTAACTCTAGTCCAGGACATCATACTGCTACTTAGTACCTTACTGTCCTCACTGGCAATGAGCATATGACATATTTGATACAGCATAGGTGCTAATGGCTGCTTCTGACAAATGGCAGAAAATACTCTCACCAGGGAGGTGGTAAAAACAAAGCATTGCATTCTGGTTCTCTAGTGCTGAGAACATGCAATATTAACACTGATTTTTGGAAAGTCTATAGCTAGGGGCTGCACCAGTCACAAATATGTGTGGGGAGAAAAGCTCATACAAGAAGAAGATAGGTGCTAAGGCTGGGAAGCAAACACAGATCTGTCATCAGAAAAGTAAATGATTTCCCATTTTAACTAACCAAAAATATTAAAATGCACAGCATGACTTAGAATGTTGCTTTAAATTTCAATTAATATTGGAGAACGGTATGCCAACAACTTCCTTATACACATGACTCTGACTACTGGAATGATCCTGCAGGACTGAGGCTGTGTTACTGCATATGTAGGAGGTTATTAAATGCTTTATAATGATTATGTTAAAGGTCATATTTCTCATACACATAACCTCACTTACTATTATGAATTAGACATGTACATGAGCAGACAATGGTCTTCTTCCATTAAATGTAAACTGGCTGAAATTACTGCTGAAGTTGCCAGGCTGTAAGAGAAAAGAGATCAAATTAATGAAGATGAGGTTGTATAATCAGTTTATGATACAAATTGTGCTGGGGTCATGGCTGATATCACCAACTCCCACATACCCAAGTATACTTTAAAATGTGACTCCTCTCCTTTTCTAACCCAAACTCTAAGTCAAGTTGTTTCTTACTTCTCTTCCATTCCAATTTGATCATGACACCCTTGCAGAAACACCTGAGCACTGACTCTCTACTGCCAGAGGGACAGAGACCCACCTCCTTGGCAGGGCATTTTTGGCTCTCCTAAGTTTGGCCAATACTTCAAATCCAGGAGTTTTCCATCTTAGCTCATATCAAAACTAGTAGGGAAGCTTTAAAAGATAAACAAGTTGATAACCCATGCCTCAGAAACTACCTAACAGTTCTGAGGTAAGATTCTGAGACTTGCAGCTTTAAGAAATCTGGACGGTACTTCTGAATTGCCAAGACTAAAGCACTTAACTCATTTCTCCACCTATTATTCCACCCAGACAGTGGTGGCAGCTTGCTTGCCTCTAGCCCTCTCTTCAGGCAGATTATCCCCGAGACTATCATTTCTTCCCTAACTCTAGTTATAGCTCCTCCATTCTTCTGAAACCCAGTGAACCTCCAGCATTATCTTTAGAAACATGACAATCACAATGGGATTACCATTCTGAGCATCCTAAACCCACTAATTTCCTCTGTAAAAAATTTTTATGGCAATGACACTTTTACTGAAGATGCTTCTTTAACACCTTGAGCCCTGTATTTCAGACCCCTAGGGGAAGGTAAACTCTCTCTAGCATCTTTTGTTCACACTTCCTGGTCGTTAGCTTTAACAGTATTAAGTATAAATCAGGTACTCATGTGTGCAACACTTAATGATCACTGAAAAAATTATATTCTCTTAAATTTATGAAGACATTTTTCTTAGTCTGACAAGCTAGGCTGTCATCTTTCAGGGCTGTGTATGCACACAGTGACATGTTGTTCACTAGAAGCATCATTATGCTCATGTAGAAATGATAATCACTTGTTCACAAAACCTGACGTGGTGTCAAATATCTATTAATGTGTTTTCCCTATAGATAGAATGATTTCCGTGTTTATATATCCCCCATGCATATGTATTATGCTATGTGTGGATGAGCAGAAAGGATAGTAAAACAGCAGATCTCTCTACATCTGCTTCAAACGGCCCTCCCAAGCAAAGGGACAGCTGAGCCCATCCTAATCCACCATGGGGAGTACCAACCAGAGTGCTTCTCCCTCAGTGTAAAGAAGTGATACTTTAATACAGGTGTTTAATACATGTCCTCATATGTGGTGACCCCCAACCATAAGGTTATTTCACTGCTACTTTACATCTGTAATTTTATTACTCCTATGAATCATAATGTAAGTATCTGATATGCAGAATATCTGATATGCAATCCCTATCAAAGGGTCATGCAACCCCCAAAAGGTCGTGCCATATGTTGAGAACCAGTGGTTTAGGATGTCAAGAGTTTATAGGTCAATGTCTATGACACAGTCCCCAAAGCCAAGTTGCATTGGAAGAAGAGTAGCCAGCAGCATGACTACCAGAGCTCCAGCTTAGCCCATAAAGTTCACGACACATCTCAAGGGCCTTCTAGACACAGAGGTACAGCTTCTCCACAAAACAGCATAATACATGGGAGTTGTCTGGAGTTGAAGCAGCACTGGTGCTTTTTGGGACTTTTAAACAGTCCTGGGAGTGCTGGCTGAGAGAATAACCACTATTTATAATATTACTTTTGTGGGAAAATGTTTTCTGTGTTCCAAACAACAGGTCAGACATGAACTTCTGTAATAAAGATTATTTTTGAGATTGGGACTGACTGTTTCTTGTTAATTGCACTATGTTCAGTATTTTCCTAGGCTAAGACAGCAGCAGAAGAGTATAACAAGAATAACTGGCTGCCATGAACATGGGTCAGAAGTATCCATGAAAATGAATGCCAGAGGGCAAGATGGGAAGAAATCCAGTACATTCTTAGTTTGCTAAATGAGTATTAATGAACACCATTAAAGTCTATGCTATATGGGAAACAAAAATTAGGAAGGATTTTGATTTGTAATCTTAACCTAGGATGGGAAATAGCAGATATGAACTTCACACACACACACACACACACACACACACACACACAGCTACAGGGTAAAGCATAGAAATATAAACAAACATTAGATATAGGCAGCAGAGAGAGAAAGAAGAACCAGTACTTCCAGCTGGAAGCTGAAACTTCATAAAGGTTTTACCTGGTATGGCAGCTTGAATACTGTCCCTCTCCCCAAGGCTCATGTATCTGAATAGTGGGACCCTAGTTGGTGCCACTGTTTGGAGAGATCTACGAGGTGTGGCCGTGCTGGAGGATGTATGTCACCAGGAACAGGGTCTGAGGTTTCAAAGCCTCACTATTTTCAGTGTGTTCTCCATCTCCCCGCCCCCTACCTTCTCTCTGCTCTTTTTCTCTTTGCTTTATGCTTGTGGTTCAAGGTGTGAACTCACAGCTTCCTGCTCCGGCTTCCACACCTGTGCACTGCTTCCACCTTGCTGTACAGACTCTGACCCCCTGGACTGTAAGTCAAAACTAACTGTTTCTTGCACAAGCTGTCTTCTTTATGATGTTTTATCACAAAACAAAATTAATACGCATGGGATTTAAGACATAGAGGAAGCAGCAAGCTTGGTTTAGTAGAAACCACCACAGGCATCAGAAGATCACAGATATTATGTATTAAAAACAGCACCATGGATTTAAGAAGTTATTGACCTACCAAGAGAGGTTTCACATACAAGAGAAGTAAAAGGTACTCTGAGAAATTTGAAAGTCACAAAGTGGCAAATGTGTCAGTCACCTTTATGCTTTGCTCTTAAGTCTGTCTTGAGCTATAGCTAAGACTTACATGAAGTAAGCTGACTTAGCAAGTGTCTTCTAACTTCCAGAACATTCATATTGGATGATGCATGACATTCATCTTTATCTGAAAGCAAATGTAATGGAAGCGTTAAAACAGAAAGAATTGATAGGTACCTTACAGAAACTAATTAGATGGTTGCACCTAAAAAGTAATAAAAATTATATGAAGCACTATAAAATTGACATTTGTCATACTATAAGTCATTTAAGAACCTAAAATAAAACCCTAAACCCTGCTCAGAGAGTTTGAAAAGTAAGATTTATAATATTGCTCTTCATTTACTTCACTTCAGAATAATAAAACTTTGAGAAAATGTTGTTTAATATTGAAGCATGCTTTAAAGAGAAACACTGGAGCTCTAGTCACTGTCCTGGTAAACACGGACACACCAGACTAAGAGGAGTTCCCATTTTCAAGAATCTCACAAACCTCCAGACAGACAAGCAGGAAAGAGTCCACTAGGTAGGTCAGTCAGTGCTACAAATAATACAAGGCTTCTGGGACTTTTAATTTCTACAAGAAAATGAGGGAAGGCTCTGCATTCTGGAAAGATACAGGTGGGCAACAGGAGGCTGACAGGCAGTTAATGCGATGGGGGTGGATTTAGGTTGAGGTTGTAGTTAAGGAGTTAAATACTAGATTTAGCACATGGGGCTTCAATTTAAACCTAAAATAAGCCACAAAAGTTTTTAGCTAAAATCATACTCAATTTTATATTTTAAAATCATAGCTATCAGGCTGGAAAGACCATTCAGTGGATAAGAAAATGCACTGCACATGAGTCTGATCACAGCACTCATGTAAAAAGCTGGACATAGGCATACAGTTCTGTCTACAACTGCAGCATGATGGCAGACAAAGACAGCTCTGGCATTGGAGTCAAGAGCATTTCCTGGGCTTGCGACTCTAGTACAGTGGCTATAGTACCTCCAGATTCAGTAAGAGACCCTGGCTTAAAGGAACAAGGTAGAGAATGACAGAGTACAACACCTACCTGATGTTTTCCCCTGGCCTTCACACACGTGCTACAGGCACTCACACAAATCCCTACATGACATGCATATATAAACACATGATCTCTAAATGGATGAGATTATTTATATACTAGCGTACAGACAAGCTACTGTGAGAGGACTCCATGGGCAAGAAATCTCTTTTGTTACTGTAGTAACCAAGATGGGAAGAAACTGGCACAACTGCAACAGAAGTAAAATGTTTTTAAAAACTCACTGATGGGGGCTGGAGAGATGGTTCAGAGGTTAAGAGCATTGCCTGCTCTTCCAAAGGTTCTGAGTTCAATTCCCGGCAACCACATGGTGGTTCACAACCATCTGTAATGAGGTCTGGCGCCCTCTTCTGGCCTTAAGCCATACACACAGAGAGAATATTGTATACATAATAAAAAAATAAATAAATATTAGAAAAAAATCTAAAAAAAAAAAGAAACCTCACTGATGATGATGTCCTTCAGAGTGGGAGCTAGATTAATGACCCCATCAATCACCTCAGCCTAACAACTAGAGCCATTATCAACCTTGTCACACACTGACAAACACAGGTGATGTGGACTGTAATAGACTATCTTGCTAATCAGAGGCATTTACTGTAACCTTAAGAATTCTGTTCTAGAACATCAGAGCCCAATCTGTGACCAACAAACACAGCACATTCATCTGTCTGAAAGGTCAACTTCAGAATGGTCTCTATGACTGTTTGCACTGCTGTGATGGAATCCCACACAAGACTGCTATCTTCCAATGAAAGAAAGGCAAAAAAAGGGGTAGGGCTGCCCTGTTCTGTCTCCTCAGGAAATAAAGTAGACTGAGATAAACTCAACGATCACTTGAGATCCTAGAAATTTCAGGAAGAAGATGGAAGAAAATAAGTTTCTAAAAATTGGGAGATTTAGAAGAAAGAAATACAATCAGTAAACTATACTATTTATGATTATCACTTAAAATCTTTTCTTAGGGCTGATATTCAAATTTAAAAATTATTAAGCTATATTTTAAAGTTAATTTTGATTATCTAATAACAAATGGTCAGCCCTGAAAACATGCATAGGAGTAACAGGTTATTGGTTACTAAGCAGGTTGTATTTAGGAAAAAAAAGTGTGTGTGTGTGTGTGTGTATAAAACAACAATTAATTTAAAAGAGGCTATGACTTTGAAAAGGAGCAAGGAGAGGTAGATGGATAGGTTTGGAGAAAGGAAAGGTAAGGAAAAAAGATATAATCTCAAAAAATAAAATAATTAAAAATATATAGTTCTCTTAAGAGATAATATTTTAAACAGCTGCTCAGAATCTAGCAAATGTTACTCTCAGAATAATTTCTCTATGTAATTAAAGGTAGTGAATAAAGAGATGCATGGCTGACCAATGTGCTGAGAAAAGTGACAACTGATGTTCAGCCCCAAACAGGACTCCAAGACTCAGGGAATATCTAGGAAGAAGGGGCAGAAAGAATGTAAGAGCTGAAAGATGGTGAGAAGGGCTGAGGGATGCTATCTTGTAGGCACAACACAGTCAATGTAATCATGACATCACAGCAGCTTTAGCTGATTGCAATAGGCCTGCACAAGACTAGGCCTTAATACTCAATTGTGGACATGAGAAAGGTTCATGGAGTCCTACCCTACCTGATAAAATACTGTTTACTGATGGGTTCTGGAAGAAGGATCCATTATCTTCAGTTGTCTACTCACTAGTGGGCTTACTCGGCTTCAGTGGACAGCTCAACTCCACCCATTATGATCGTTATTCTTGGTGGCCAACTTGACTACATCTAGACATTATCTAAAAGAAAAATGTTGGGCACACCTGTGAGGTTTTTTTTTTTTCTTAATTAAATCATTTGAAGTGGGATGACCCATTTCTAATCCAGATCTTTGAAGTGAAACGATACACCTTTAATCCAGATCTTCTGCGGTGGGAAAATCTACCTTTAATCTGGGCCATACCTTCTGCTGATAGCCTATATAAGGGCATGGAAGAAGGACAATTGTTCTCTTTACAAACTTGCTCTCTCTCTCTCTTGCTAAAATACCCACTCCTTCAATGGTGTTAGAGTTCACTTCTTTAGGATTCTGGCAGATACCAAAGACCAGCTGAGACATTGAGGCTAGCAGACTGAATAACTACTGGATTCTTAGACCTCTCATCAGTAGATAGCCTGTAGGACTAGCTGGACCACAGCCTGTAAACCATTCAAATAGATAAATCTCTCTGTGTGTGTATGTGTGTGTGCACATTCTGTTCCTCTAGAGAATATTGACTAATACACCCATGATAACACCACTGACCCCAGTTAAACTCAGTGAGTCACAAAACAAAACAGCAAAAAAAACCTTGAATGGCAGAGAGGGACTTGCAGAGAGGGGTGAAGTGCGTAAGGGGATCAAGAGATGCTGGGGGATATAATCATAGTATACTATATACATCTATGAACTCTGTCAAAGAACAAATTTAGTAAGTTATGTAAGAACAAACAAAAATCCCCAAAGGACCTGACAGTAACCAGCACTAACGAATTCTTTAGGAATGGCTGTGAATTTGTGAAGAAGTGCCTGCTGGATTCCAGCCACAGACACAGTTCGATACACCTGCTCCCCCATACCCATGATGAACATCCAAGGAGGAAAGAGTACAGTGCATTGACAGCAGCCATGAAGTGTCTGTAAGACACCAGGGTGGCACAGTGTAAGGCAGAAATTTTATCAGTTAGGTTTCCTTTACTGCACATGGAAAATTGATTTCAGACACAGTTATTCACAAATTTTTGTGTTTTCTACACAAAGTGAGTTTACTGATGACAGAGATGCTAGGACTTATAAAAGTTTTAAGTAAGTAATCTTTTAAAAGTAAGATTTTTCTTTTACTTTTTAATCTTAAGGTCACAAAAGGAGTTTAAAGGAAAAAACATATAGAAACAGTAAAACAAAACAAAACAAACAAACAAAAAACCAGTCTCTCTACTGTCTCCTACCACCTCAGCCTGCCCCTCTGTTCCCATGGAGAGCAATATGACAAAAAGCTTCAGTGACACTGTGTATATATGCAAACATGTGCAGTGTGTGAGACACTTCAAAACCTGCTCTGCATGAGATTTTTTAAAATATTTATTTATTATGAATACAATATTCTGTCTGTGTGTATGCCTGCAGGCCAGAAGAGGGCACCAGACCCCATTACTGATGGTTGTGAGCCACCATGTGGTTGCTGGGAATTGAACTCAGGACCTTTGGAAGAGCAGGCAATGCTCTTAACCTCTGAGCCATCTCTCCAGCCCTCTGCATGAGATTTTTAATAAGCATTTCTAAACAAGAGAGAAAAGAAATTAGAAGGATAGAGTGGGTGTGTCCAAGCTCGAATGCAGGAAATCTGGGCTATAAAAAAATAGCACACTATGATTACTTTCAAATCCCCTAAAATTAGCCAACAAACCCTTTAATCATGGAATACCAAATGACATCTTGAAAGACTCCAGATCATTACAAAACAGTGTGGGAAGTGAAATGGTTCATATCTCACTGGCAGCAACACATGCAACTGGACAATGGGCATATCCAGAAGCAGGCACAGGCTATGTAAACTTGCTCCTGGCAGCAGACCTAGAAACCAAAGCAGTAGATGGTCCGAGTGTGTTAGTGCTGAGAGCCAGGTGTGGTCTCTGTGCTGCTGTCCCTGTGACCAAGTAATGGAAATATCCATTTGCAAAGTCTGATGCTAAAATTAAATGTACTGGGTATGTTTGCTTTCTTCAAGTAAATACAATCAAGGGTTTCAAGAGAAAAAAAATTGAATTTGTTTTACAAAAGCAAAAAGTACAGCTAACTATTGAGAGAGATTAATACAAGAATTGCTTATTATAAAAGAATCAGAAGTGAATAAAATTCATAGGGAATTACATTTATAATGACTTCAGCTCCATAAATATGCAAAAGTGGGGAATTTTGGAAATACTTTTTTATGTTCAAATTCAAATCAAGACATCACTCAGCTGTGTGCAGTTGATCTTGCTAGTGAGGTTAGATGGACCATTATGTAATCATAAATTCTACTT